TTCTCTATCTCTTTCTTCTCTCTCTCTCTCTCTCTCTCTCTCTCTCTCTCTCTCTCTCTCAATGCACTGTAATGAAAAGCTTTGGAGACAGACAGGATTATCAGACAATAACAGAAAAGAACAGACTGATTAGCACTATCTGCGACCTCTTGCAGAGGAGCGAGCTAACGAGCACGCACTCAAACAAACGGAGAGATAAGGAGTACAGAAATAGCCAGATAAAGGTTAGAGACAACTGAAATTCGAGAGCTGAAATGGGCGGTCATTGTATTATCATGTTTCAAGCAAAGATTTGTGTTCTGAACTGTGACATTATTTAAATGAACAGCTCGAGTTTGAGTAAAAAGAAGCACATCGACACCATGATGGCTATTTAGAACGGGGAAAAGTGAGACATTCAAACAGAAACTTGGGAGGGAGAGAAGAGATGTTGGATTATCAGTGTCACCCTCCAACCACCTGCAAAGGGAACAAAAACGCAATCTCGGAAGAAGTCACAAAAGAGATTTATAGACATGGCCATTGTCTTACCGAGACCCACTTGTGCTGCAGAACCTGACCAGCCGACAGCCGCTTGTCTGGGTCGATTTCCAGCATTCGTTTCACCAGATTCTGGGAAAGTAAAAACATGAATAATAGACTACATTGTCTGAGTACTGTGCTCTTTGTCTTTGTTGTATCATCGGCGACAGGTCACGTTGTACTTCTACGTCAGGGCAGAATTTATTGATGCCCATGACAGCCTGCAACATTAACTGTTCTGGGCTGGTTGCAATCCGCAAGTTGGTCCTAGTGATATAATATTTATTAATTATTTATAAACGTTTTACACTCAACCAACACAATGCTTTTGGGAGCAGGCTGCTTCAACTCTGCCTATTGGGACAAGCCTTGGCTGAGTGGGTTACAGCATTACAACAGGAAAAATTGATGAAGTAAAAAATCGATACTGCATCATGTATCTTCGTCGCTTGGAACTACAACTTTTTGTGTGCAGCGGGTACGGGCTTAGTCGTTACACCGTAGGCCCTGGTTAAGCGAATGAGGGAGCTTTTCTGTTTCCCTACTCTGAAGTTTGGTTTGTCTCATTATTTTATTTGCGCTCTTATTTAAATCACGTAGCGATGATGAGTGTAACTGGCGCAACCCTACCTTGTACCAGGGTACTTATTCCTTTCGGTCGAAACAGTTAAGCCTGAAAAAGGTTCGAATCCCACATCTTCATAAGGTTTTTCGGGTTCTGGGTTCGAACTTCTTGTTGTCCGGTGTCCGCGCATAAAGACCACTCATTTTCCCCTGACCCACAACCCAGGGCAATGGAGCAGAGGAGGAGTACTAACCTTTGCAGGGGCAGAGATTCCCTCCCAGTAAGGGTTAGGGAAATCGTAGCTTGCTGTCAGGATCAAATCAAACAGTTCGTCTTGGTTATCTGAGGAGCTGTGAAATACAGACATACTTATTTCAGGTCATTGCAAGAAATAAAAAAGCAATATTCCCTCTAAATTAACGAAATTGTGGATTTGAAGACCGTGGGATCTATGCAATTGTGAACAATCTTTTTTAAAGAAAGTCTCCAGTGGATAGACTACTTACTACTGACTGAGTTATTTATAGGTATCACGTGGAATTGGTTGAATTTTATTAGCAGGTATCATAATTATATAATACCATAATATTATAACATGAGTGTGCGTCTGTGGAGTGTGTGTGCATGTGTGAGAGTGTGCATTTATGTGTATGTGTGTGGGTGAGTGTGTATGTGTGCGTGTGTGTGTGTGTGTGTGTGTGTGTGTGTGTGTGTGTGTGTGTGTGTGTGTTGTGTGTGTGTGTATGTGTGTGCGTGCGTGTACTGTGACCACCCACTGAGATACTACCTCACCAAAATTGCCTAATTCAAGAAGCGCTGTCTCTTACTTAATATACACGAGCATCTCTAAAAAGACCCGGTCCTGCTGGCGCAAAGTCATGAAAAATCCGTATACTATCCATGTTCAACAGTGCCCCATCAGAAATTTGACCCACTCACAGACATGCGCATCACAGTCCATTTGGACACCAACTTAGCAAAATCCTCATGCTGTCTTTTTTTTTTGGGGGGGGGGGGGCTTACAATATGAGTTTTAACGAATCAATAGAGAACATGGAGTTTTACCTTGAAAAGGGAGGGAAACCACACAACAAGATGTACGCTATCACTCCCGCTGACCAGACATCAATTTTCACGCCGTACCTGTCACAAGGGAAAGCAATAACGTTTTTTTAAATGATTTTTGTCTTTAAGTTGAACAGAGACATGAGCTATGATCATGAACAACACAGACAAAAAAGCTTTCGATTTTGTAGAAGGTTGGCTGTATCGATTTTGCGTATTAAGAACAACCGGGGATACGTGAGTAATTGCATCCCAGCAGTTTATTGAGATCCTTATACTTATAGACTTCACCTAGAGGTTATCGAACTCATATCTTTCGCAACCAGTGGCAAAGGATATAAGACCACGGTCGCTGGCTACACGGTTGGCTTTCACAATGCACACTTTATTAAATTTGAAGAGCATCTTGCGTAATTCAGCAAATAAAATACCTCTGATCAACCAAGCCTGCGCAAATCCTGTGGCCGAGATAAATGTGTGTATTATTGTTCATTTATAGTATGCATGTGACTGTGACCCTGTGAGTGCAAGCATACTGCGTGCGTGTGCATGATGTTTGTGTTAGTGTGCGTGCGTGTGTGTGTGTGTGTGTGTGTGTGTGTGTGTGTGTGTGTGTGTGTGTGTGTGTGTGTGTGTGTGTGTGTACGTGGTGAAACACAAAATAATGTACCAGGATTTTGACAATAATCTTATCTTAAAAGATACTGACAACATCAGTGAATAATAGCACTGTGTGTGTGTTGTGATGACACAAACAAAGTGCTAAATATACGAGTAAATGCCTTATTTTTAAGGCAGGCTGCTTTAAATCCATCCCCTTATTACCGACTCGGCGTGTATTCCTGAAAAAAGGCCGAGACACTCAAAGTGGCAGAAATGATCCATGAAAAAAATGTCCTGAAGTGAGAACTAGGATCCTTTTCGAGCAAAGCGAGGAGTCTAAACACTTCACAACGTACACATGTGAATCTAATCTTGAGGGTGGGGAAAATGTAAATATAGATTACCCATTGTTGATATAGAAAAAGAAATTCTTTAAACGGACGTGGTTTCGGACATGTTGACCGATTGAAAAGAGAAAAATTAAAGGTTGTCGGGGCGCTATATGTTGGCTCAGACTAGCATTTGGAGAGGATTACAAACATGATTATTGTCAGGCAAAATGTTATCTTTGTCGTAATAGACGAATTCATGTGTTATGTACAAGGGGCTGTCCTTGTGGATCAGGGAAAGTTCAAACACCAATTATGCCCGTTTCGTCCCCTGTACGTAATTTCCATTTCTATAAGTAGTTAAAATCCGGTTCAGAGCACAAAACGAACATTTATCCCCATTCTTATCATATTAACCTGGGTTTGCCTTGAATAAACTTTGCATTCAAAGCTTAGTTCTTACATGAACAATGCAGAAAGTCCCCTTTATGTAATTTATATTTCTATAAATAGTTAAAAACCGGTTTTGAGCGCAAAAAGAATATTTATCCCCATCCTTATCATATTGACCTGGGTTTGCCTTGAATAAACCTTGCATCCAAAGCCTAATTCTAACATGAACAATGCAGAAGAAAGTGTTACCCTGTCTCTGCAATGACTTCAGGGGCCACATAAGTAGGTGTCCCACACACAGTGTACAGCGGGCCCTTCACCTCCGTCGCCAGCCCAAAGTCGCCCAACTTCAGGGATTTGGTTCCGTCATCGTGTTGCCGAATCTGTAGCAAGAATAACCATTTGTTTCGTTCGGAATTTACGACACAAGAAACACAATAAGGTCTCATAAGTGCCGAAGTTTAGAAGTTTTACAAGAGAGTATCAAGCACCAAAAAATATGGAGGACAGATAAGGGCGATAGATGTTTGATTGCAAAGAGGTAGCAAACTACACCAGAGCACTCCCCCAATCACCCATGTTTGGAGTTTTATGCAATTTTTCACATAACAAGTGATTCTCAGTATGAGTGTAAAGACTAACTGACCCAAAAGAGGAGAGGGGGGGGGGAGCACAAAGGTAGAAGAAAAAGGAAAAAAACAGAAGAAACCAGAAAAAAACCCCACCCATTTGCGTTTATTCAAGGAATATACGTCTTGCTAAAATGAGCTGAGTCTACCATCAACACCCTCCCCTCCCCCCTGTTTTTATCTACCCCCTCCTCTTAAATGAAGATAAAAAAGGTGGGGGCACTTTTGCGCTATTGAACACAATTAATTTTGGGTCACGTCTTAGTCAAAAGAATGCAGGACAGCTCAGGTTGAAGAGCATCAAACATTTCTCTTATAAAGGGTTTCAGCACCTCACACAATGTCACGCGCCGTCAATTCCTTTTCCAAATCAAAACTATCGAGTCATCTCTGGACGTGCCCCGTACTATGTGGGTTTTGAACAAGGCATACATACTAGTTTTTATAAACGTTTTTAATAGCAGCATTCGACTTGCATAAAGGCACAGAATCTTTGCATCAAATATAGGCCCCAACAAGTATACACGAAATTCATCTCTTTCTTCAGGATTCCTCCAGGTACTGTCGCAGAAAATAAAACTAATAAATAAAGATGAGCTTGACCACTCTCCTTCTTCCTCAAAAACTCTTTTCCCAAACACAAAAACCTCCTCTCTCTCTCTCTCTCTCTCTCTCTCTCTCTCTCTCTCTCTCTCTCTCTCTCTTTTTTTTTTCCTCTCTCTTTTCCTCTCTCTTTTTTTCTCTCTCTAACTCTCTCTATCTACCTACCTACCTACCTACCTACCTACCTACCTACCTACCTACCTACCTACTTACCTACCTAACTATCCATCCATCCATCCATCCATCCATCCATCCATCCATCCATCCATCCATCCATCCATCCATCCATCCATCCTTCCATCCATCCATCCATTTATCCATCTATCTATCTATCTATCTATCTATCTATCTATCTATCTATCTATCTATCTATCTATCTATCTATCTATCTATCTATCTATCTATCTATCTATCTATCTATCTATCTATCTATCTATCTATCTATCTATCTATCTACCCAGAGTTTAAAGACAATCAAGAACTCCCACCCCATCTGAGTGAAGAGGTTTATCCAATGCACGTTCCTTCACGTGTACCTGAGCTGAATTCTGAACCAAAATGGCAGGTATAGTCTCCTCATTTCTTTTTTAATTGATCAACATTTTTTCTCCAGACTGAAATCAGGAAAATAATCCCTTTCTCTGAAAAGTATCACGTAAAATATGGTGTATACCAGCAAGTTTTCCGGCTTGACATCTCTGTGGACAATGTGCATGCCGTGAAGGTAATCCAAGGCACTGGCTAGATTGTAGAGCATGCCACTAGCATCTTGTTCTGTGTACTTGGTGGAGGATGCAATAGCATCAAACAGGTCGCCACCCTGAAGACAAACAAGACGACATGTTGACCATTGATTTTGTTAGCAGGGCGTTGCGGCGAGCAGAGGTCATGTTAATCTGAATGTCAGACTATTTACCCTAGTGTCGGCATGTGCGAGAGAGACAGAGTGAGGCTTTGTCTAGATGAAGTAAAAAGGATAAAAATTGTCCACAATAGGCGAATACGAAATTAAATATCGGTTCATATAACATCGCAACTGTGCGCATGGAAAAACCACTGAGGCTCTATAACTAACAAAATATTGAAAGGCACGTGGTCGAGACAGATAGATAGATAGATAGATAGATAGATAGATAGACAGATAGATAGATAGATAGATAGATAGATAGATAGATAGATAGATAGATAGATAGATAAATAGATAGATAGATAGATAGACAGGAAGATAGATAGACAGATAGGATGGATATGTGCCAGAGCGTAAGTGTGTATGTGCGTATATATTATGTATGAAGAGTGTGTGTGTTTCTGCATGTGTGCTTTTGTGTTTGTGAGTTGATAGGGATTTTGAGGGGGGGGGGGGGGGGAATGTCAAAAGTAAGATATTCAGCCTGTTTACATCTTCACATAACAATATTCAAGTGGTTAAAAGTTTCCTTTCTTTTTGCCTTCTCACTGCCCTAACCACCACCTCCTAATCTGCTATGGTTTAAATTTCTCAGGTCAAACAGACGCGTTGCTTTCCAACCTATTTGTGAGTGTTAAATTAGATCACTAAAAAAATCGCTCAACAACAGCATGGGCGCTCTCAAAGTGAAGTAGTATTTCCATTTTGAAAGTTTAGTGTTTGTTGTTTTTTTTACTGAGGGGTGAGAAAGGGGAATGGTGTTACTTTCTTTTTGCTTTGTTCATTTTCAGCGTGGGGGGGGGGGGGTGCTACTATTTATGCAGTTGGTTGGGGGTGAAACAGGTATGCCCTACTTGCTTTGTTTTCTTCTGTTTCTTCTGTCTGTTTGTGTTACTTTTTTCTCTGAGCTTAAATGAGTGGCATTGTGTCGATGTGCTGCTTTTTACTCAAATTCATATTGTTTTCTATTTGAACACATCAAGGCCTTCTCACCCTGACCAGTTCCATGATGTAGAAAATGCGATGCTGGTTGGTGTAGTCTTCAACGAGCCGGATGATGTTAGGGTGTTTGACACAGCGTAGGATGCGCACTTCGTTGTCGATCATCTTCTCCTGTGGACACAAATGGGGATAGCGGGAGTTTGAAGTCATGTTTATGTCATATTGAACACTTGTTAACAGTTTATGCACAAAATGGTATTTTTTCAACAGTATTTAACTGAAAGAATAATTGTAATAATCTATCACATTATATTAATCATCGCTTTCCAAGTCATTAAGGTGCATGATAGCCAGCTGAAGGCAGTGAAAAATATTGCCTTTCTTGCTAGTGGGTTGTTTTTTTTCTACTTAAGCTAAAATTAATGCTGAAATTGCTTCCAGGATTTTGTAAAAGTGTCCCTTGAAATGGAACCAAGTCCTGGACAGTATACAAAATACACACCAAGTTCAATAGGTTTTATTTCTCCAGTCTGAAAAGAATAAAGTGTGTTCACTGGAGGGGTAAGACCCCAGACACTAAGGTTTTTGATGGGTTTCAATGTGTACACTGCACAGGTAACGATGCATCAGAAAGAATCTGGACGTGTCCTGAGCTTTGCGGATAGCATAATGGCATACGAGCACGGAGATGACAGACTTCAGATGGCAAGGAACATGGAGAAAAGACGTCACTCAGTTGTAAAATGGTGCGACCAAAATGAAGCAGTTATCAATCCTTCAAAGGCGCAGGTACTTTGGTGTTCCCTCGACAACAGGATTGTCCAAGACATAACTCCACCAATCACTTGCAACTATGAGATTATCGACCGACAGTGAGAGCTGAAGTATCTGGGAATCGTCTTCGACAAGTCGTTGTCCTTCAACAAGCATTGTGAATCATGTGGTAACAAAGGCCAAACGAGGTGTTGGTGCAATCAAGACCATGGCGGCCGCTCTGATTCCGCAAAGAGTGCTCTTCCTGATGTTGCAGCTGGTCGTCCTGTCTGTCATTGATTACGGATTGGGCTGTCTCACGCTGTCCGACACACAGATCGCAAAGCTGGATCGAGTGCAGAATGAGGCAATGAGAGCAGTGCTGGGCTGCACCAAGGACACTCCAATATTGTGCATGCGCTACTTGCTAGGTTTAAGTGCCATCAGAGTACGCCATAGGATAGCTCAGGCAAAGATGTATCTCAGTGTAATGGGCAAGAAGGATAATCCACTTCACAAAGCACTTCATGACAACAGGAGAGTCAGAATCAAGAGAGAAAAATCTTGGATGGCGGAAGCAGAGGATTTCCTGAGAACAATCTGTGTACCTGAGAGCCTACCACTAGGCGAAGAATGGGAACAGGTGACCGGGGAATACAGGGACCTCACCAAGGTCAAAATAAGCATGGGCAGAGACAGAAGAAATGTTACGGCTGCCATCAACGAGAGCAATATCAACGAGATTGTTGACGCAAACTCAAAAGCAGGGGATCCTATAATGTATACAGATAGTTTAGTGAAAAGAGATAGCCAGAGAAGTGGATGGGGATTTGTTGCATTCGCCAACAATAAAATCATACACAGTGCATCTGGAGCCTGCAGCAGGGCTACATCAAGTATGCGAATGGAAATTGAAGCCATCACGAAAGCACTTGATTGGATGACCCAAAATCGCCCCCACACAGCCCATGCTGTTCTTATCACTGATTCCATGTGTACCATCAGAAGGATCGAAAAAGGTTTCCTGAGAACAGAATGGATTCAAGCTATTGAACCAACACCTATACGATCGCTCACATGAATTTTCTGCCCTGGCCATTCAGGTGTTAGGGGAAATGAAAAAGCCGACAAATTGGCTGGTGAGGCCACCTTAGTTGACAATACGGTTCAACCAGATAGGGTCGAGATCCTGAAATGTCTCTCTCGCCAGCTGATTGAGGAGGAAAATAGGGAGGCAGAGGTCAGTACTATCGTGGAGAGGATGATGCTTTTGGGAATAAAAAAAGGAAGCGGAAAATCTGGCATCCTTGCAGGAAAGAACAGAAGAACGTTCAACCAGATGTGCACAGGCACAATCAGTGGAAGGACCCTCGGCAACATTTTGGAGAGAGCAACGGAGCATCAATGGACATGTCCGGAGTGCAGGGATGTTGCTTCCTGAAACAATGAACAATAAACAATGGGGTGAAAGCCCCCAGTATCTTCTATCATCTGGAGAAAATCATGCTTATATTGTACGAATGCCAGACATACGGCTCCCCTAAGCTATTTCCTACTCAGATTTGATATATGAAAGATGTACAATTGCTTACACCCCAAAATTGATATAAAGACACTCTGAAGACTCTCTGAAAAATTGCTCCATTGATGGGGATGAGTGAGAAACCCATTGTCTCGGCTGATCAGAGTGACGTAAAACTGTGACATACGGCTGCAAGGTTTTTGTTCGAAAGCATAGTCTGTATAGCAGAGGCAATCAGGAAAAGAAGAAATGAAAGGCTATCAAATCCTGGCCTTGACACTGGCCAACAGACCATAAGGGTTCTGTTTGTAAAAATACTTCTCTGAAGGACACAAGGGAAATAATTAGAGGGTTTAACAAACAAACCTATGTTTAGGCTACGAAGCACTCCAATAATTTAGGAAAGGAAAAAGCACTGCTATCTGCGCGAGCTGTTGCATCAATCGTTTTCATTACAATTTCACTTGCTAATATTTCCCGTACTTTACTCTCTTTACCAGGGTAGCTACCGCAGGCCCACGGCTTCTCTTCTTCCTAGGAACTTAAAGGGCATGATGGCCTCATAAGGGACGAAATGCTACTATGTCCTAAGTGAGTGTATTACTAGTATGCGCTTATGCATCTGTGATGTTTTAAATTTTTTTTGGTATGAGAGGTTACTTTTAAATGTAATTGTAAGAGGTGTTTAAAGCCAACAATCCGTTAGACAGATTATGTATGAAAATAATGTAAATAGTGAGATAATGAAAACGAAATAAAAATGATGTTGTGCCCCGCAATTTACGTAGGGAAATACGTTTCATATTTCCGTTATTAGCACAGTAAATATCACGGCCAACCAAAATGAGAAGTAATAGTCTAAAAAAAACTCACCTTCCCTTTGCAAGAGTCCTTATTGATTATTTTCAGAGCAAACTTTCTTTTCGTCTTCCTGTTTTGAAAGGATAATGAGATCAGAAAACTTATAAGAAGTGCCTTATTTTATTGTCTGGTCTGGTTGGCTTTGTTTTGTTGTTGTTGTTGTTGTTGTTGTTGTTGTTGTTGTTGTTGTTGTTGTTGTTGTTGTTGTTGTTGTTGTTATTATTGCAGTTGTTGACGTTTGTCTTTCGACACAGATACAAAGTGTGTCCATGGTGGTGTTAGTTACGTAAAATCGTTTACTTTTGA